AATTAAACTGTCAAACACCAAGCGGTCACCGGTGACCGCAACCTATTGTTCTATAATTGTGTCTATAATGACGGTACTCGACGAGTTAATTTAGATTTTTCTTTGAATTACGGCATTTTCTCATACCTCATTAGCACTGTGGTTTTAAATTAACAAACATTTCAGGTAAACGACTTCTATCAATTTACATGAAGCTAAACTAAACTTAAATTCCATCAATTTCATCGCAACAATGTCATTAGTTTGCAAAGTTCACACGACACTGACACAAATGCACTTATTCATAGCTATAAAGTATAAACAAAGAATACAAATACAAAACTCAAAGAGAAACAAACGAAAATCTACAAAGCGTAAAATGTAGGGATACCACAAAAATCTTCACCGACCCTATATGATAACAACTGTGCCGTGTTGGAGAATTCTTAATGTAAAATCAAAGGGAGGAATTCTCTAAGGAATGTAAAGAATTTGTGAGACACGCGAAGCCTTCCACAGCTACCTTTGTCATGGGGAAGACACGCCAAGTCCCTTTGTTCCACGAATTTGGTTTAAAATGAATTTAGTTCATTTGCTATCTGCTCTTAGAATGAAGGTTATAATGTGTTTGTGTTGTATAAATAGCTTTATACCTGATATTGCTTTAAAGGTTAAGTTATGTACATGTCTATTTATTTATAGTTAATTACTACTGCCGAGAAACTGGTTTAAACTGTCAAACACCAAGCGGTCACCGGTGACCGCAACCTATTGTTCTACAATTGTGTCTGCAAAACCGGTACTTGACGAGTTAAACTACAATCTTTAAGGCTTACCCTCCATGACGAGTCATTTTACAAATCCATACAACCTTCGAGTGGATTTGAATGAGTAGCATTCACACTATGTTGCCGCTCTGTGGACACAGTTTTCTTCGTTTTTACGCAAGATTCAAGCATGCGTCTTGCAATTGTCAATTGACGAAAGCGTGTGCGGGTTTACGTGGACAATCGGCGTTAGTTAGAAGGCGAATTAATCGCCTCCGAAGCGTAAACGTGACTTATCTTATAGTCCTATGTCCCCTAGATGAGACAGAGGGCGTCCACAGAGGTTCTCCATTTCGATCGCTCTTGAGTTTCTCGCTTCACCACGCTTCACGTCATTTCGATTCTCGCCGCTTCTGCTATCACAGTACGACGCCAGGTTTGCCGAGGGCGGCCACGCTTCCTTTTTCCCTGGGGATTCTAATCCAGCGCTTGATTGGAAATATGGTCGAGACCCCTTCGGAGTGTATGCCTATCCATCCCGAAGCGTAAGTGTGATTATACCAAATCTTCTTATGTAAAAGAGCATATGTAGTCAAACAGCATTCTAATAAATTCAGCATAGGCAGATGATGAATTGCCAAGAATAAGTTACTATTACAGAGAAAATGATTATTGTTTAATTTAATAACCCATTATATAAACGGTCAGCAAGCTACAACTGCGCGCTTCTCTCGTAGCTTTCTGCCAAAACTGTGGAATGATCTGTCTTCGGCGGTATTTCCGAATCGATAAGACCTTTAATCCTTTAAGAAAAGTGCGTATTCCTTTTTAAAAGGCCGGCAACGCGACTGTGACTCTTCTGGTGTTGCGGGTGTCTATGGGCGGCGGTGATCGCTTACCATCAGGTGATCCGTCGGCTCGTTTGCCTCCTGTTCCATGTAAAACCTCTTCGTTCCTTTTTAGTTTGGGTTTTGAGTGAGACGTTACATAATATAATTGGATTGTATACTCAATTACATTAGATACAGTCTCCTACTGTAGGCGTTCACTTTGAACCAATAGCTGTTATTTACAATACTTGTTTCGTTTCACCATTTTGTTTTTCCTTTGATATGAATATTCAAATTCCA